GAAACGAGAAAGCGGGGACACGGGGCGCCCACCAGGAGCACGCGCGCCCAAAGCAAGCGCACCCGGAGCCAGCGCACTCGGAGCTAGCGCATGTGTAGTGAGTCTAGCGATACCGAGTTAGTTTGAGGGAGCGCTAGTTTACTTCATATTTCTCGGCTCAAGATACCACAATGTTCCAACAACGATTTTCACAACGTACAATGACCATAGACACAGGGTAAATACGAGTATCGTTTGTATGGCGCGACGCCAAACATACAGAATGCTGGAAAGTCGAGGCTTCATGGGTCCATCGCAGAGTTGGATGCGCAACCCCTCAGATATCCGACAACCGTGTGGATATGGAAGTTGTTCACAACTCCAACACCTTGCGATCGATTTCCTCGTACTTCCTGCGCTTCGCGGCCGGTCGATTGCCGCTTCCGAAGCGAGCGTGCAGCATGTCACGGTGATGCTGCACCCTCTTCAAGCCTCCGATGAAACGCCACAAGTTCGGGTGCACCACACCAAATTCGGTCTGCAGCCTCCGATGGGCTGCCTCCGCATAGTCATTCGTTCGCGAGTCACCGTTCGGCGTACGTAGATGGACTGACCACATGCGCTGTGGGAACATGGGCTTTCGACGAATGATGGTTCCGTCCGGCAGGATATGTAGCAAGGAGGTATTTTAGAACGGGCATGGGCTCGTGCGGCAGCGCGACTGCCAGCTCAGCTATGGCGTTCTTCATATCAGCCAGCGGTACGAAGGCTAATGCACAGATCATCCGGGCGCTGAGTGCGAAGCTTCCTTCGCTCCGATACCGGCTCAGCGGGTTCAGGTCACCAAGCTTCTTCTTCATGCTCTGAACTAAATGGAACAGACAGCCATGTATCTCGGCATCAAGAAACGATGCGGTGAACGCATCGACGAAACCCATTCCGAGATCGGTGAAGATCGCCTTAGGAGCGAAAGCGGGCCAGGCAGCTCGGATGAGCGGTATCATGCGTGCGAACGAATTTTGACTCTTGTCTGGCAATAAGGCGTAGCACACTGGGAACACGAATTATGCCCGTTGGGCAAGAATCGCAACGATCTGATAGGAGCATGGAGGTGCCAAGCTGAAGGTACCGTCCACGAAGATTTTCCGCGAGAGACCAATCCATCCAACCACGGACTCGCGTCCGAACAGAAGAAATCTCGCAGGATCACCTTCTCCTAGGGAATATGAACAAACCAGACATACTGGACGCGGTTCTGATTGGAGATTATAAGGGGTCGAAACGAAGATGGAGTATCCACTAAAGCAGCCTTGATTTCACCGGATCTCACCTGTGTCGCCGATAAGAAAACGCTCAAACACTCCGGGCTCACTCTCGTACATCGTTAGCTCTTCCGGAATCACAATCGACGACCGATCTTGTGGACTCGCCGCCGGCCACATGGCATTCTTACAGGCTCGATTTATTGATCTGGGTAGCTTTTCGCAGCTTGGCAGCACAAGTTTTGCGGCTCGGGTCGACGACTCGAAAACACTTCCGATCAATTGCAATGGAGTCTCCTGGCAATCCTCGGCTCTCTCTTACAGAGCAGTTCGTTTCGCCGCAACTTCCACTGCACTTGGGTTCGGCTCGTCACTGTGTACACCGAGCACCTTGAGAACTCCGTCATTCGAGGCCTTGCAGGCTCCGAGATGGTGACAGCGCCAGAACTTTCCTGTGCCATCTCTGCTGCGGATTTGTCACGGATATAGTTGTGTCCATCGTGGGTTCGTTTGCATTTTCCGCGCTGCGATACCAAGTCATTGCTGTTCGACGGGGAAGCCATTGCTAGGTGGATATTTCCTCTCTTTGAGGGATCTCGCGGGTTGTACAGCGATCGGATCACAACAAAGGGAGCTGCGCTTTTCCCCTCTCAATTTCAATATCTCTCTGCACGTTCTGCATCTTCGTTCTTCCCGGCGGGAACTTCCTGACGCTAGCGCAGTCGGTGCTAGAATATTGATCCATGGCACCTTCTCCGATCTCATCTAGGCTGTCGTTTTGAAACACGAAGGAGAGTATATACCCAGTATTTATAGTCATTGTACGTTGTGAAGATCGTTGTAGGAACATTGTGGTATCTCGAGCCGAGAAATATGAAGTAAATTAAAGCTCGAAAACAGCGAGGTGTTTATTTGGAAGCTCCAAGAGGAGTGATGGAGGCTCGGCAATGAGTTGTTCGGCGATGAGTTCTCTCGGCGATGAGTTGTTCGGCAAGGAGTTCTCTCGGCGATGAGTTGTCCGGCGATGAGTTCTCTCGGCCATGAATTGTCCGGCGATCAGTTGTCTCAGCGTTGAGTTGTCGGCGATGAGATGTCGGCGATCAGTTGTCCGGCGATGAGTTGTCTGTGTCCGTCCTAGCCCTACCAATCGGTATGCGACAAGTCCGGTTAGGTACGCAGTACGCCTGTACACGGCCGTACTCCCAGCGCTGAACGCCAGGGGGCACTGCGGCAGGCCTCCGCTGAAGGGCGATTGAGCACCGCAAAGAAGCTTCGCCGGGAACGGATTCTCTATTGAATTTTCCATCGAACTTCCGCTGAAGGGACTGGATAGTGTTGTTAGTAGCCAATGCTTCTACGTTCCGGCAGAAGACTCACCATTCGCACGACCATGTTTGGCCCAGGAGCAAGACATTCATGGAACTCAGGGAACCAGAGCATCCAAGGGATTCGTCTTGGGCGTGCGCGTGAGCCGACCTGGATCGAGTGGTTATGCAGACTGTTCAGTTATTTGCCCGATCTTAGACGGTCCACACGCTCTGGGTCACTCGAGAGAGAGAGCCATGCGAGATCGGTACAGGTCATTTGGCCGAAAAGTCAAATGGGCGGAGCGACCATTTGGGCGGATTGCCATTTGGGCGGAGCGCCTATTGGGCGGATTGCCATTTGGGCGGATGGCCAGTTGGGCGGTTTGCCATTTGGGCGGATGGCCAGTTGGGCGAAATATCATTTGGGCAGACTGCCTATTGGGCGGAGCGACCGATTTGGCGAAATACCATACGGGCTCAGTTCCCTCGAAGTAGGACAACTTCTTCCTTTACATATACCTACAACTTTGTCGTTCGTAGGTCATGATGGCGGAATTTAATTTCGAGGTCAAAAATCGTGCGGGCGTAAAAATGGAACATGCGGACGCGCTCTTCGAGCTTCTAGAGACTAGAGAGCCATTCGAGGAAGCGGGAGAAGCTTCCACAGAGGAAGATTCGTTGCCTACAGATACGGCCGGACCACAAGTATGTACGGCAGTGAGGACCCATGATGAAACGGTGATAAATGGTATATTCAGAGGGCAGAAACATCGTATCAGTCGCTGATGAAAAAAAGTCTTTCGACTCGACGAGCTATCACAACATTTCGAGGATCCGAATGTGGCGTTCCGAGAAGACGAGACGGAGCTAGAAAGTGAACAAGCAACAACGGCGGCAAAGACAGTATCGAGTTACACGGAGGATCGGAACGGAGCGCCGGAAGCGAAAAGCGAGCGAACTCGGAACCACCAAAAAGTGGATTCCACATCGTTGATGGGGAGAGAGGTTCAAGAACAACGAAAATACGAAGGGACGCGAGATCGGCCGGAAAGGGCTGTATACTATCAAGGAAATATATCAAGTAGATAATTAGGTGGAAAAATCAATCGCAGGTTTAGAGGGAGACGGTAGTAATTATGGAAGCAGTTGGTAGCGTATCAAGATGGATAGGAAAAAGAGAATATTTCGTTCAAGTTGTGGACAACTAAGGGTAGCGATGGCAGAGCGATCGAGCGGAGGCCGATGAGCTCGACGGATATATGAAACCTCCAACGGAAAAAGAAACAGAAAGTTCGGGATCGATCGGAGCAAGAGTCTTTTCGACGTGTGGTGCCCTTCGAGATGGTCGATCATGAACGGGCGTGCGGACTTTTTGGACAATCGTCACGAGACAGGCGTGAGTGTATGGCACGACGAAGGCCGTGCCGTGATTGTAATGTCGTGGGACACTTCGCAAGAAACTGTCCGGCGAGGATCTGCTTCGACTGTGGAGGAGCTGGTCACCTGAGGGCGGACTGCACGAGTCCAAGAATGCTGCTCGAAGCCATCCAGGAGGAGAATCCATAAGTCATTCCGGAGGAAAATCAGGAAGACGTGCAGGTAGAAAATCAGGCGGACGACGAAGAGGAGTCCGAGTCTGATGACGATCAGTTCTTCTGGGGAGACAATCCAGTCGGCGAGGCGGCACCTCGAGTTTAAAAATTCTCTGGATCGCTACTGTATCTCTATCATGAAGTCCGAGAGCGAATTGTGTCGGGTTCATTCGCGCACAAATGTCATGCCACGTCGTGACTAAGCGATACGCATTCGGGTGCTCCACGTCGTACCACTGTTGTCGAAAATTCGACTCCTCGTGGGAGAAATTGTTCGCTCATCGTCGTGTCGGATTTCGTCTCGTGAAATCTTCCTCGCCCTCACGATGGCTTCAAACATTACGAAAACCCAGAAAGGGAATGACAAGTTGATCCATGACGGACAAATGTACGTGAAGGATTCTGTGATTCGAGGTGGGACGGTTCAAGGCTGGCGCTGTATGCACAAGAACGCATATACTCCCTGCAAAGCGCGAGCCTATACCGAGATAAGTTCCGGAACAGTCATCAGCTCGAGGGGGGTCCATACCGATCCCGAGGATCCGTCAGAGGTCGAAGTCACGAGAGTCAAATCGTCGCTGAAGCGCCGGTCCGAGGAAACAAGTGAGCCGCCATCATGCTTGATGTCACACTCGTTTGCCAGTACCTCGAGGGCGACTCTCAGTCGTTTGCCGGAACGCTCAGTCATGGCAAGAATGATCAACAGACATCGGAATGCCAGTTCGAACACACCAGCGAACTTCGACTCGAGGAGCTCCGTCGTTATTCCGGATCATTACCGATTCTACGAGACTTCACCGGGGCAGTTCGAGAATTTCGTGGTAGCTGACAGCGGAGTGGGCGACGAGGAAAGAATCATAATTTTCGGTCGAGAATCCACTGGTGATTGGATCGGCCTGGTTGAAAAGCTTTACCTGGACGGGACCTTCAGTCTTCCACCGCCAGCATTCTCACAAGTTAGTGTTGAAGCCGGGAGTTTCTATCTACTATCACTTCGGGGTCTCCAATGCCGATCATACCTATTTTTTCGTTGCCCCAGCTCAATTCGTCCTAACCGAACCTTGATTGACAATGAGTAATAAAGTGGATCACTCGCTGATATATTCACATCAGAAGCTGAAGTAGATCTCTCCTGAGATATTCGTGGTTATGGTCGAGCGCTCGCAGTGCGTGTAGCCGGTCGCATATGCTCTGCTGCCGAACAAATCGGAATCGACGTACACACGAGCCCTCGATCTGCTCGAAGGTTCTTGGCCGGCCTTGAGTCCGTTATCGATCGTGATGGATTTCGAGACAGCAGTCATGACCGCCGCAGGAGACCGCTTCTCAGGCGTGCGTATCGATGGATGTTCCTTCCATCTTGTGAAAAACATCAAGCTCCGAGTTGCGAACGAAGGACTCATGAGTCGGTATGAAAAGGCGGGGGTTCGCTGGTTTTTGGGATAAAATATCATTCCTCACACAGACCATCCCCCTATCTATCCCCCATTCTATATTCTATATAATGTCAATTTTCCCGCAGTTATTGCAACGACGATGAGTTTGCGCTGAAAACGCGCATGATCGCCGCTCTCGCGTTCGTTCCGCCGTTGAATTTGGAAAATGCGGTTGCCGAGTTGGCTCCGCTTCTGCCAGAGGAACTTGTACCGATCCTAGACTACTTCGAGGACGTGTATCTGGGTAGACTGAATCGCATCGCCCCCGACGGAACGATTGAGAGGAGGCCGGCGCTGTTCCCCAAGGAGATGTGGTCGGCATATCAAAGAACACTCGAAGGAGAAGCCCGAACGAACAATTATGCAGAGGCAGCGCATCGCCGAATGCAGCTCGAGTTTGGCGTCAG